TACCATGGACCTGAGTGCTTCACTCAGATCTCTCAATGAGAAAAATTATAACTAATTTTTTTGCAGTATTGAATACTTTTGAGCAATAAATTTATACTTGCATCTTAATTTTTACAGCATGTGTATGACAGAGCTTGTTTGAATTTTTTCAGTGCTGCCACTAAATGCAGAGCTCTGCTCAGCTGCAGCTTTGGAATATAAATGAAGCATCTAACCTAAACCAAATAATGTCTTGTTCAAATTACTGCACTCAAAGCTATTGAGTTGAAAAAAGCAACATGCATTAATGAACAATATTAGGTGAACAAAGATGGAATACTTTCAGGGAGGAGATTTGCATTCTAAATCTTATAGTCTAACACATTTCAAGAGCATAAATTAACATGGTAAGGAATTTTATTGCAAGTACTTTTTGAATAAGATTTACAAAGTGTATTTAGTTCATTCAACCATTTGATGAAAGTAAAGAAGGCACTAGAAACAAATACAATTGTCAGAAAAAAATCTGGCACACATACTGGCAACAAATTGGCAACAAAATAATTAAGGAGACATGAACATGTGTTTTTTAATACTGGTCCAATGCCTCTGGTGCAATTATAAATCATTTAAACAAGGATGAAAACTGCTGCTGTTAAATACACACAGGTTGCTAATTGTTGCTCAATTAAACATTACATTTGATCTCATTAAACATTTCACTAAAAATGCAATTGGATTGTTATTTTCCTTAGGGTACTACAAAAATTCTCAGGCGGTAATTTAAATGATAAATTACCCAAAACATGATACATGCAAAGTAAATTACTGTAAATATATTTCACAATCTGTGTGTTTGTTATTTCCTCATTATTTGACATGCATATGTATTGAGCAATATGTGTTAAAGTCCTTGGGTAGTTTCAATATTTTTGAATCAAAGTAAACTGTGAATTTATAGGGCAAATGTTTAATGCACCAACATTTGTGGAGTCCTGTAGCTCAGTGGTTAGAGCACTCACTTTGCAAGTGAGAGACCTGAGTTCAATTCCAGGCAGAGGGCGAAACCTTGGGCAAGTTTCCTTACTCCACACACCTAATAATAATCCCTCCAAAACTAAAAACAATAATAAATTGGTCATTTTCAATCTACGATTGTTTGTGGACATTGCTGTGCGCAATTGGCTGCCGCGTTCGCCCACAAATATACAGTCAATTCACTTTACAGTGTGTTCTGTGAAGCGCTTTGGGATGTCCTCCCGACGTGAAAAGCGCTATACCAATTGCAAGGATTATTATTATATTATTATTATAGCTAAATCTGGATGAATAAAATGAAAAGATCCAGAACATCTGAATGTGGAGAGGCAAAAGGTTTAATTTATATGAGTGACTCATAGAATATCAAATCCATAATATAATGTCTGAATACCACTTATCATATCACACACTTTGATCTAAGAAATTAAAATTCTTCCTAGTAATGGTAATATGATCCATTGAGGACAAGCATTCACATACCCACTTTTATAGAAAAAGTTACTAATTTTCAATTTTGCATTAGGGTATGATGTACAAATTTCTAATTAACCATTTCAGGATTAAAAAGGCATTTATAAATTTCCAGCTGAGAGTTTAATCTGGTAATAAATTAGACCATTTTACATCTTACATCGTTTTTGAGGTATTCTATATATTTTATTAAATGCTTTAATAACAACAACAACTTGTGTTTATATAGCACCCTTCACTCGGGGTAGCGTCCCGCAGTGCTTCTATTGCAGCACTGTACATGTATATAATTTTATTTTCCTGTAATAACTTTATTGTTTTTCATAGAACAGTATGCTATACCTATTGAAGTTTTTTTTAAAGTAATATCATGTATTTTGTTTTTCCACATGTATAGTTAGTGTTTGGGGACTTTATGAGCGTCACAGCACAGAATATGTTTTCTCCACACAAACTTACTTTTTAAACTTGCTCTTCGGATGCCAGGCTTACAAATTCTCTGGCTTGCCATCTTCTCCCATGGTTAGTTCTCTTGAGAAATCTACCCCCTACCTCCAGTCCCCTCAGAGTATCTTGGCTAACCTCCAAACCTTCCAAAATCCCTTATGTATACTGGCAACTCTGTGAGCAATTGGCTGCCGCATTTCGCCCACAAATGTACAGTCAATTCACTTTACAGTATATTCTGTGAAGCACTTTGAGACATCTAGAAGACGTGAAAAGCGCTATGCCAACTGCAAGGATTATTATTTATTGTATAACTCCATGCATCATATTCTTCTCAATATTACATTCCCTATTTCTTCATGGTTGTATGTGATCAGGGTTGATTTTTAAAAATATATAATCTTAAATCAGCATGAGTTTACAAACGAAAGGACAGTAACATTGTAGAAACTGTTTGACTTTGCCATTGGAAACAATATCATTTTATTTTACAGGTTGTTTCTACGTTGCTAAGCTTTCTAATTGGATTAAGTCCCCAGTTAAACCAACTGTTTCAGTACGAATGATGCTATTCAGAAAAAAGGTATTTCAAGTTATTTCTACAGATACTGTAATATGTCCTGGGACAAAATGTGTAAACAAAGTTACATTTTGGTATGGAAAATTGCTGTTTAGCAGGTGAGAAACTTTTTGGGGATGAATTGATCAGATAAATTGATCATGGCTATTTGTAGTACATTTCTCCACGCAAATTGACTTGCTTACAAATATGCAGCCAATTCACTTTAACTCCAATTACAGGGAGAGTGCTTTGATTTTTGACATTATAGGCACTAACAAATGCAAAGATTTCTATTAGTAATAATACAATGAAATAAAACTTTTCAGAATTCCAATACTGTGATTGTGTAGGTGAGTAATCATTTACAGACATGGAAGTGAAAGCTATAAAATATAATTTGTTTCTCTCAACACTAAGACTAATAATCCTGGAACAGTTTTATGCTGCGAGTTTCTTTTTACCTACAGATTACACTTATGTTGCTAGTCACGTGGTTGTTGAAAAAGCATAGTTTCCTTAAAAGTTTTTAGTAAACCTGTGAAACAGGCTCCCTAAAGAGATGGTTGAAGCAGGAAATATTGACTCCTTCCAATACAGGTTAGATAGTTTTCTTTTAGGAAATAACATTATGGGATATAGTACATAGGTAGTTCAAAACATATGTGCATGCGACTGCCAGGAAGGTGGAAGACTAACTAGATGGACCTTGGTCTTTTCTCGTCTAGCATTTCTTTCCAACCCTACATTGGGTCTTGGAATCACATTGTCTAAGATGACCCTCCAATACAGTGCCGGGTGTAATGTTGCATTGTCGGAGGTGAAGTCCCTTGAATGAGACATTAAGCCAAGGTCCTGTCTGCCTGTTCGGGTGGATGATAAAAATCCCATGGCATTATTCAACAAGAGAAGGGAGTTTCTCCGAGTGTCCTGGCCAACAAATACCCCAAATAAAATTGATCATTCACTCCTTGGTTGTTTGTGGGACATTGCCGTGTGCAAGTTGGCTGCTGTGTTTTGCCCACAAAAATACACAGTCAAATCCACTTTACAGTAGATCCTGTGCAGTGCTTTGAGATGCCTCAACGCCATACCAAAAGGCACTATAGCAAATGCAAGAATTATTACTGTTATTATGGACATTGTATTGTGTGCAGATTCCCAGAAACCACTTCTCCTTGTGCATGTGCACTGTGTTAGGTTCCCGGAATACGTGTGCATCACATTGTGCAGCTCCTGGAACTTGCGAAGATTTAATCTTCTGAATCACTACTGTGTAAATTATGTTTCAAGTGGTAATTTACTAAAGCAAAAGTTGAGGGATACATTGGAAAACAATAGAGTTATAATGTCGTGCATTCAGTGTAGATGATGTGGATTATAGAGGTAATTAATATTAACGATTTAACATTCCAGATAACTATGCTGCCAGCAGTAAATAATATTACATCAACAACCATCAAAGCTGTAAAGCTGCTTTTAAGAGACATAACATCATTTTGGGGTTGGGTGGTAGAAGTGTTATGCATAGATTCCCTATTAGTGAAGAAGCCATAACTAATTCACATTATGTAGACAATTACCCATTCTTCATTGTGTTATTAGGCTTTGAGATCGAGACATCTTGAGATCGAGATAGCATTATAAATCACAAGATCAAATCCAGAGCAATTGATTTAGCATCTTAATGCTGCAATTTGTCCCTGCCCTGAAGCATCCTCCAGACTACATTATTTTATATAGCACATGAGTGAAAGTTGTGCCAAGTGATAATCAGCACCAGTAGTAATTATCACATCATACCTCATAATTTTCAATCTGCAATCATATCTTACCAAGGTCATTACTAAATTGTGTGATTTGAGAACTAGTGGGCTCAACAGGCTAATGGCCTCCTCCGGTTCCTATGTTATTATTCAGTGATATTACATCAATGCTATGCAAATTTATTTTGTTGATATCCAGGATTACCTCATCAGAGTTTTTATATGTTCTGTAACAGCTCACAATGGACCAGTCAGGCTATATAATGCACTTAGAAGAAATACTATACTAATGCAATGACAAAGTTAGTCAATGACAAAATCTTTATCCAGTTGTAAATTATTTATTGGGTTTGTTGTAGAAAACAATGTTGGAAAAAGGACACTGCATGTGTCTTCTAAATTATTTTCTAAATAAACTTCTTAATGGCCTCATCATCCCTAATGTTTTGTCATTTCTGCAACACTATTTTCTGTGCTAACATACTCAGCAACAGAAAATAGCACAACTAGCTAAATGTTCTCTTTTCACTTTTTCCATTCTGAGAACCAAACAGATTTTCCATGTGACTCCTCAAAACAAAGACATGAGTTTTGTAAGTGGGGAAGTGATCATTTAAAATATGTCCAACTATGGGAATGAATCATATTCTCCAATGGGAATAACAATTTACGCATATTTGGTTTAGACAAAGTCTTTTATTTTACATAAAAATAAATAATTTTGTCATTTACAGGCAAGGGATTTTCTTATAATTGCAATAAACATGTTCGAAGAAATGCAAGAATTTGTGGAAAGAATTTATGGAATTGTCTTGAGTATTGATTCTCATTGTTTTCCTTGTGAATAATCTCATACAGTTTAAAATCCATGCTGCAGATCTTGCTGGATGGAAAGTGAAATAAAAGAAGTCAGCCACCCCTCTCGAGTCTTCTGTTAAGAGATCGCAGTACAGTATTCTGCATCAATCAGTGCCACCTCTTAGTACAATAATGCTAATTTGGTTTCAGAAAGGCAATTCTTGAGAAAAAAGTAACTGGTCAAATAAAAGCATATCTGCTGATGTTCCTGGTGGCTGATCGTCACTTTTCTAGATATGTATAGTTTCACTCAACAGCTCCTTGAGAGAAGGTAACCTGCAATGAAAGACAACAGACATGCTTTGTGTGTTCTTCAAAAGTAAAGCAAATAATTAGTCTTTACTTCAGTTAAATTAGGACACTTGCAAACTTTTATATGTACTCCTTAAAAAGGCTGCGGTCCATCTAATTCCCACTGAGATACAATTTCAATATGTGGCACAAAGAAACAAGCTTGGTATTTACATGAACATCACATTTCGTTAGAAATACTAAAGTGCTTCGCTATTAAAATGGTAATGATTCTCTTTGGTTTTTGTTCAAAAATAATCTTGTCTTGATTCAGACATTGTGATGCAAGTTATTTTAATGCATTTTGTTTAAACATGTGTACATAAACGTGGAATGATCAGAGTCTGAAAATCTGAGAATGTTGTATTAGGAATCAACGTGATTAAATTCGAATGCATTCGCTGGTAAATAGCACCTCAAATGCAGCTGGAGCGCCCATACCTCAGCGTTTCCTGTCCCTCTTTCCAGCTGAAGGAATGGGCCAGTGTCTGGCTTCCAATTCCTCTACTCTTCATCCTTGGAGTTGAATCCAGCCATTCCCAAGTTGTCAAATGAAGAGATGCAGGATTTTAACCAAAGATCCAAAAGGCTGCATGCAAATTTCAGTATAAAACAAAAACGGAACAGTGTGCAGTTTTGTGAATAGACCACTAGTTTTACAGTACTTTATAGAATATAATTTTGTTCTGTAAACAATATACTGTATCAGATACATGACAATCAGATTTGATGTCTATAACTTATATTTCCTTCATGCCAACCAAATTTAATACACAAACGGTGATAGCTGCAAAGCATTGTCCAGTATTACTTGTAAACGATGTGTTGATCATATAATTGATCAGTTGAACCATGCCACTTACAGATCGGAATCGTTCATTGGTTTCTTCTCCAGTGAGTGTGAAGCAATCGATTTGTTTAATGGGATCTCAACCTCTGCGACATTGTAATCGTTACTTTTGTGCTTCCTTTTTTTCAAGAAAAGACAGCACATCAAAGAAAACATCACAGTCAAAAGGCCAAAACATGTCGCTGATAATGCTATCAACACACCCTGACACGGGAATTGGTCCAACTTTGTCTGGAAAGGATCGACCCTTGTCTCGGGCACACTTTCTTCTATCCTGATGTTGGTATCTTTCCTGAGTAAGTTTTCTATGTAGCTCTCATTGCTTAACGTTTCATTGACAAACAGGTTGACGATGACTGTGCTGTGCAGTGGCTCTGGATAGCCGTGATCGCTGACTTTCACCAGCAACCTGTACAAACCACAGTCACTCTTCACCAGGGACTCTTGCAAGGTGATGTTCCCTGTGCTGGTGTCGATGCCGAAGGACTCGGGACGGGGTCCTCTCCTGCCAATGATGGTGTAAGCGATGACCGCGTTCATGCCCGTGTCCTTATCCACGGCGTACACCTCGGTGATGGAGGAGCCGGGGGCAGTGGATGGAAGCACCAGGAGGAAAGAGAGATTGGACTGTGGGAACAGGACCACGGGTGGGTTGTCATTGACATCCAGCAGAAGGATGGTGACCTGAGCCACAGCAGACAGAGCGGGCTTCCCCCCATCGATAGCCTGGACCCACAGCACGTAAGAGCTCTGCTGCTCCCTGTCCAAGGGCACCTTCGCCATGAGGTTCCCTTTCCCGGTGTCGATGACGAAGTGCTCGCTGCCATTCAGCACGGACAGGGCCAGCCAGCCATTACTCCCGGCGTCGGGGTCGGTGACCCCCACCACGCCGATCTCGCCGAAACTTGGGAAGTTTTCGGGAACGAAGAAGCTGAAGTCCTTGTTGATGAAGCGGGGCTTGTTGTCGTTCTTATCCAGGACGGTGACGAGGACCGTGGCTGTGGATTCCCGGGCGGGTGACCCGCCGTCTGTCGCCCTGACCATCAGCCGGTACTTTTCCCGCACTTCCCGATCCAGGGAAGCAGACACCGCCAAGACCCCAGTCACCTGGTCTAAGGCGAAGCAGGGAGGCGACCCGGGCTCCAGGGTGTAAGCGATGGCACCCATCTTCCCGCTGTCGTCGTCGGTGGCCTTGAGTTGGATGAGGAACGTGTCGGGGGGGTTATTTTCTTCGATGCTCACATCGACCAGGGAGTTGGTGAAGGCGGGAGAGTTGTCGTTCTGGTCTATGAGCTGCACCGTGAGGCGTGTCCGCAGGGTCAGGCCCTTGGTGTTCTCAGCCACCACCGCCAGCTCGTATCCCCGCTTCAGCTCATAGTCCAGGGGCTGCGAGGTTTCCAGCAAATACTCGTCTTTAAAGGTGAGGTAAGGCACCAGGCGGAATGGCCCCTCACCTTCCAGGTAACACCTGACCTCCTGCTTCTCCTCCTCCTCCTCCTCTGGGTCCGTGACGGTGAAGAACGCGATGGGCGTGGGCGCCGGCTCCGTCTCCTTCAGGTACACGACCCCGTCGGACTGCAGGGCGATGTACCGGGGGGTCACCACTGGGGGACTGGACCCCAGCCTGACCACCCGCAGCTGGACAAAGGCTATCACCGGGATGCAGCCCGAGCCGGTGGCCAGGACGGTCAACCTGTGGGCCGGGGCGGTGTCTCTCTGGATGGGGGCCGCCAAGGTGATGACCCCCGACATCTTGTCCAACCTGAACAGCTTCCTGGACGTCAGGGAAACCCGGTCGCTATACGAGTACTCGGTGTGGGCATTGTGGCCCAGGTCCGGGTCGGTGGTGTGGAGCTGAGCCAGACTGGTGCCGACCGTGGTGTTGGCCAAGACGGTCACGTCCAGGTGGGTCCGGGTGAACTCGGGACAGTTGTCATTGATGTCGGTGATGGTGACGGTGAGGGAGACGCTGCCCGACAGCCGGGGAGAGCCGCCGTCCTCGGCGACCAGGCTCATCCCGTACACGTCCTCCAGCTCCCGGTCCAGCGCTGCCCTGACCACCAGCCAAGGCACCAGCCGGCCGTCCTCAGCCCGCTCCGTGCTCAGGGAGAAGCGGCCCTGGGAGCCGAGCAGGCGGTAGCTCTGCAGGCCGTTCGCCCCGACGTCTGCGTCCTCCGCTGACGGCTCTACCGGGAAGCGGGCTCCCAGCTCGGAGTTCTCCGGGATGGAGAGGCTGAGCTGGTCCAGCGGGAAGCGGGGTGGGTTGTCGTTGATGTCCTCCACGATGACCTGCACCTTGACCAGCCTGAAGTAGCGCTGAGGCAGGATGATGACATCGAGGAGCAGGGCGCAGGGCTGCCCGGGCGAGGGCTGTGCGCACAGGGACTCGCGGTCCAGGGCAGTGTCCGAGGTCAGCAGCTGCCCACTGGCTCTCTCCAGCTCCACGAACCTCACCGCCTCGGGCTGCAGGTTGTAGGTGATGCGGGCATCTCCCTCCTGCTCCATCTTCAGGTCGGCTCTGATATTCCCGATGAGCCTGGCTCTGGGCAGCCCTTCCTTCACTCGGTACACGAGATCAAACGCAAGCCCACAGCCTGCAAAGCCGCTCAACAACCCCAGGAATAGCAGACTCCAACCCATCCCCTGCGGATGGAAAATAAGGAAAAGTGTTGTTGTTGGGCAGTGGGTTGCAGGGCAGCGAAATTAGCTTGGGGGGGGGGGGTAAACCCCCACGCGGGGGCAAAGGGGGGTAAACCCCACGCGGGGGCAAAGGGGGGTAAACCCCCACGCGGGGGCAAAGGGGGGTAAACCCCCACGCGGGGGCAAAGGGGGGTAAACCCCCACGTGGGGGCAAAGGGGGGTAAACCCCCACGTGGGGGCAAAGGGGGGTAAACCCCCACGCGGGGGCAAAGGGGGGTAAACCCCACGCGGGGGCAAAGGGGGGTAAACCCCCACGGGGGGCAAAGGGGGTAAACCCCCACGTGGGGGCAAAGGGGGGTAAACCCCCACGTGGGGGCAAAAGGGGGGTAAACCCCCACGTGGGGGCAAAAGGGGGGTAAACCCCCACGTGGGGCCAAAGGGGGGTGGGGGAGGGGGAGGGGGAAGTCACGAAAAACAACTTTGCACAAAGTGTGCGCGTTTTGCGCAATCGTTTCCGAGAACCGCTCAAAGCAAAAACGTTGCACAGGAACGAACTCAGAGGAGAACTGCGCGTTTCATTGCTTTCAGTGGATCGATTGTGTGCACCGCAGTCTCTCTCCAAACACACACCAGCACCACCAGCCCCAGCAGCAGCAGTCCCAGCACCAGCAGCCCCAGCAGCACCACCAGCCCCAGCAGCAGCAGTCCCAGCAGCACCAACCCCAGCAGCCCCGGCACCAGCCCCAGCAGCACCAGCACCAGCAGCCCCAGCCCCAGCAGCACCGGCCCCAGCAGCACCGGCACCAGCAGCCCCAGCAGCAGCAACCCCAGCAGCACCAGCACCAGCAGCACCAGCAGCCCAAGCACCAGCCCCAGCAGCACCAGCAGCCCCAGCAGCCCCAGCACCAGCCCCAGCAGCACCAGCACCAGCCCCAGCAGCACCGGCACCAGCACCAGCCCCAGCAGCACTAGCACCAGCAGCCCCAGCACCACCAGCACCAGCAGCACCGGCACCAGCCCCAGCAGCACCAGCCCCAGCAGCAGCCCCAGCACCACCAGCAGCACCAGCACCAGCCCCAGCAGCACCGGCACCAGCAGTACCAGCACCAGCAGCCCCAGCAGCAGCAGCCCCAGCAGCCCCAGCCCCAGCAGCACCAGCACCAGCACCAGCACCAGCAGCCCAAGCACCAGCCCCAGCAGCACCAGCCCCAGCAGCGACACGTGTGCCAAAATGCACCAGCTGCTGCAGTTCTGTTTTTACCTGTGTGTGGGGGTGTGTGGGGGGTGGAGTGGGGGGGTATCAGGATGTCTCAAGACACCCCCCTCACCAAAAAATAAAAAATAAAAAATAATAATAATAATAATTCTTACGTGTCCGCTTGGCTGTGTGGCAGCCCCGCGCCTGCTGCCCTGATCCCCTGCTGCACTGGGGGGGGGGGGGGGTTGAAGGGGGAAAGGAGCCTCGGCGCCCGGTGGCTTTGTGGGGGGATCTCCAGTCGCTCTCTGCACTGAGACACTCTCACATCTCTCTCCCTCCTCTCTCCCTGTCACGGCAGCTGTGGGTTTGGGAGTGGGAGCAGCTTCCAGTCACTCTGCGCCACGCCTCCTCGCGGCTCATGTCAGTTTCGCTCACCTTTTTTGGCTCAGGGCTTTTTTCTATTTTTATTTTTATTTTGGGTTCGACGAACGCACGAGTTTTCTGCAAACATTATTGACGGGTGCACTGTGGGTGGGTGTGTGTGTAGCCCTGAATCAAGTACCAACTGTCAGCAGCAGCTCCTCCTTCACACAAGTCCATTGATGATCTTTACAAATCCTTTTTTTTTCTCCCCCCCCTCCCTCCACCCCCCCACCCCCAGCAAGTCATTGCTCCAGTTGACTTAAAAGTGGATATGTTCTAGTAATGTCCAACGCTTCTCCTCCAGTGTCAAGAACCAAGCGCCGCCGGGTGCAGAGCGGAGCTGAGATGCGAAGTTAAAAAAAAGTCTCCTCAGTGCCAACAGGCGCTTTAACCCGCAGTGTGCTGCTGCAATCCGTTTGTCGCGCCGCCATTCATTCCCCCCCCTCCCCACCCCCCCTCCGCAGGGCAAACACTTGACAGCAACCTTATTGTATTTACGTAAGTTATATTGTTATATTCATTTAACGTATGACGGCGATCTTATTGTACAAAGTGGTTCAAATCTACCTCTGCATTTTGAATATGTAAGAAAAGTATAGCCTACGTAAAATAAATCTCGAGTTCAGTCGTGCAACCAGTTTGTAAAGTAATGAAGAAGTGGCTGACTGGATTGGCAAGGCCAACATCAGTTATTACTTTTGCTTGTTGATATTGCTGTGTGGGACTTAGTTTGTCTTTGTGGTGTTGGATGTAAAGTGTAAGATCTTTATGTGTGGACGTCCAGAAAGTGCTTGGAATGGGACATTAAAAATTCTGACTGTACATTTTAGGACAGAAATGATTAATCGAAGAAAAAGCAATTTGCTGTGGAAAATATTTATTGTTTTCTGCTAATATGCACCTAAGATGCATGGTCTAAATCTCTTTCTTATGCTTCATACATGAATTGATTGAAATAGATTTATGACCCTTTAATGTAACATTATAGAGTCTGTCTATGTCAGGAGGATACTCCCAATACCTGTAGTTTGGCTTTTGCCTATGTCTCAGCTGTTCAGTTTAATTTCCTCTGTGTCCACTTTAGGTCATTTTCAGTGTCTATTTTTGATTTATTTAAATGCATTTCTCAGTTTAATTCAAACCTTTTGCTCACATTTTTTAATATCCATTTTCTGTCCAAATACGGATCCCACTGTTCGAGCAAACTAAAGTATACTCTCCATTTGCAAATGTTCATAAAACAATCATTGGACTCGACACCTATGAGCCTCTGAGGAGGGCTGAATTATGATAATGGGTTCAAGGAAAACAAGTGTTGTTTTTATGTTCTCACATGTATAGACTTCTAGAATGGGTTCAATTTTATATCAACATGGCTACTCATTTAGACTACCAGTACCAATGATGTGCTCTATGGATATGTCTTAACTTGTCATAGGCTGGAGATCATCCAGAACTCTGCAGCCCGTGTCCTCTCCCACACCAGTTTGCATGACCCTATCACCCTCATCCTCGCCTGACTCTACTCATCACACAGAAGATACAGTTCAAGATCCTGGTCCTCACCTTCAAGGCCCTCCACGGCCTTGCTCCCCCCTACCTCTGCGACCTCCTAACCCCCTACCAACATACCTGCTCCCTCTGCTCAACGGATTCCAACCTGCTTCATGTCCCCTGCCTCGCCCGCCCCACCATTGGTGGGCAGGCCTTCAGCCATCCTGCCCCTACCCTCTGGAACTCCATCCCGCAGTCCCCCCACCCTCCCTGATCCTGACCCCCAGTTCGGGTCCGAAAGACTGATTGTCCAGTGCCTTGGGATGTCCTCCCAATATGAAAGGTGCTATACAACAACAACAACAAGATTTCATTTATAGAGCGTCTTTCACGTCGGGAGGACATCCCAAGGTGCTGGACAGTTGGGTCAGGACCCGAGCAGGGGGGAAATGGTCAGGGTGAGGGGAGGGAAGGGAGGGAGCGAGGAGGGGGTAGGTCAGAGAGGCAGGAGGGAGCAAGGCCGTGAATGACCTTGTAGGTGAGGATGAGGATCCTCACAAATGTATCCTATACAAATGTAATTTTGTTGTTGTTGTTTCTCTGAAAAGTCCATTGATCTATTGTATTGTGATGCTCGATCAAAATGCCCATTGGGATCAAGTGGTACTCATTGATGCCACAAAATATCTCTTTGAAGTGAAAGCTCTATCACCTGAGACAGTACTTCGGAATCAATTAATAGAAAATCTCATGCCATCCTAGTACGACAAAAATGCTCTCTGATTGAAAAGGCCAATCAACAGTTGTTGTTAATTTCATAAAGGAATACATTATGTATCTTAGTTCTGCTCGCACCCATTTCCTTTCCTCTTATACATAGATGAACAATTGTCTAATTTGCTGCCTTAACAAAGTTGAAAATGTATTTCTTCTAACTTAGATTATTTACTAACTTGAATGAACTGATGTACTGAAGTCAAAATTCTGGTAGCTGAGTGTTGGGAGAGCCCAACCCCTACAATTTGCACTTGTATAGGACCTTTCACATATGGAGAATGGAATGTGGGTTGAGCTGGGAGGGAGATGATGATAATAATAATAATAACAATAAAAATAATAATAATCCTTTCATTTGGTGTTGTGCCTTTCACGTCAGAAGGGACATCACAAAACCCTTCACAAGATATACTGTAATATATAGCAACCATGTATTTGTAGGCGAACATGGCAATCCATTGACACACAGAAATGTTCCAGAAACAACCATGAAATGAATGACTATTTTTTATTTGGGGAATTGTTGGCCAGGCCGGGAGAAACTCCCTCTTTTTGCCATGGGAACTTTAACATCTGATCAGGCATCTGGATAATAATAATAATAATAATAATAATAATAATAATCCTTGCATTTGACATAGCACTTTTCATGTCTTCTAGATGTCTCAAAGCGCTTCTCAGAATATGCTGTAAAGTGAATTGACTGTATATTTTGTGGGCGAAATGCAGCAGCCAATTGTGCACAGCAGTGTCCCACAAACAGCCGTGGATTAAAAATGACCAATTTATAATTGTTTTTGTTTTTGGAGGGATTATTATTAGGCATGTGGAGTAAGGAAACTTGCCCAAGGTTTCGCCCTGCCTGGAATTGAATCCAGGTATCGCACTTGCAAGGCGAGTGCTCTAACCACTGAGCTACAGGACTCCACTGGATGGGACTTCAGTTTAACAGTTCAGTCAAAGGATGGCACCTCCAAACTTGTACTGCACTAGAATGTCAGCCTAGACTAAATGTGTTCTAAGTCCAATCTGGAGCTTGATCCCACAACAACCTTCTGACTCCTTGGAGATGCAGTAGGTGGAGACGATGATGGTCTGTCAAAGGAAGAATGGACTTGAATAACTGAAGCACTTCTTCTCTTTCAAAACTTCCTTATGTTAGTAACAAGATGATAAATCGATGGAAATATGATTGAATGTTCAGTTGATAAGTAGATTTATAGAGATAGTGAGTGAATAAAGGTGATTTTAGAATCTAGTTTTTAGGTCTTCTACTCATTCGTTTATATTTCAAACAACATTCAAACTGCAGTAGAATCCCATTCATTTTTTAACAGAAAAATATAATTACTTGTATTTTAGATTTAAGCAAAACTGAGATCTCATTAATAATTTGTGTTATATTTACTGTTTACAATTTCTCAGTGATAAATGTTGATGTTATAACATATATGGCAGCAATTGTGGTTCATCTGATTTGAGTGAGGTGACTCCTATTTCTTCGTAAATTAGTGGAAAGGATCTTCAAGAAAAACAACATATTGAAATGAAGGGACATATCTGATAAATAGAGAATGTCATGCAAAGGGAAATCACATCTGAGTTGTCTTTTTGAATTATTCACTCATTTTGCCAATTTATTATAAAGAAATATCATAGGGACCATAAGTGATTTAATCTTCTGCCTACTTTGGATGTCTATGGGTTCTGCTTCAAATAAAAAAAAATTCTGGAGCAAAGAATCGTAATTATGCCCAGTTTATGCTTCTGGAAGCAAAGCAATATCAGTTTCAGGAGCGGAAGTCTGATTTACACATACTAATTTTAATTGCATTGGCCAAGGCTGAGGAGAGTTATGTGCAAGTGAGCATTTCATTAACAACAATTACAATAATAATTTAACAATTACCCCCCTAAAAGTTTTTGGGATGTTTATTGTACAATTCAAAATGTTCAAGGGACTGTTTCTGAGCAGTGCCCATATCGATTTTCTATGCTTGTGGTTTTAGAATAGTGGTCCAAATCAATGTGCTGTCTAAGCCATCTTCCCAAGACAGTCCAGGCAGCCCTGTGCACTGCAATATATAATGAGCTTATCTTAGAAAATTGGCAGAAATGTGCAATATTTCCAGAAAGATTTTAAAAACATTAACAACCAGCTGTAATAAAATATTATTTTTAAAGGTAGGACTCAATTAAAATAATACTTTTCCGAATTGTTTATAAATTATTTGGAGCTATATGAGAGATTATTTTCAGTTGGGGTTGAACAACAGGTTAGAATTTAATCCGAAGATTTAGACATTGTAAGCAATTGGCTGAGGCTCAAGTGGCTCAATGGACATTGTGAGAAGCTCCTATTAAATTACCTTCTTTTATTCACGTATTACCATTTATATTTTTTATATTGCACAATAAAGTTTGAATAAAATAACACAATGTGAGCTAGAAGGGAACATTCAGAGAAATGTAAAACCTAAACCCAGGTAGGATTTATATTACATGGGCTTTGTTTAACTGGAAAATCATATTGTACAATCATCATTATGTTTTCATTAAGCTATACAAGCAGAACTGCTCAGCATTCCTTCCCCCTAAAACCTGATGCCATTTATGCAACACTGGTTTCTACAACAACAGACCTTGACAACACCGACTCCATATCCGGCTCAAAGGTATGTATTGCTCCAGTCTTTTTTTTACTGATACCTATAATTTTAAAAGCATCTTTCTGAATTTGGTTTATTAATCATAATTGTCGTTTCCTGTTTCAGATTTCAGGCTGATTTACAAATATGAAAATGACAAATAGATGTTGATAGATGATCTAATACAGGTAAATAGGAGGAAGCAAGCCTTGTATTTGGGAACCCATATTACGCATTGTGCCCCAAAAGGATTTTGACAAATGAGAGACTCCTTTATATACTGATGTTATTGAGTAGCAAAGGTCAGATATGGAGCCTAAATAGTAACTTCTTCCAGATTGAAGGGATCTTGATGACAGCATAGTCAAGTTGCATCATCGGCAGGTCTTAGAAGGATAGACCAGTCCTTGGGGGCAGGGACTCTTCCCTATCAGCTCCTGTTAATCCTGCAAACTAAGGACTTGACGGGTATAGTGGTCTCAGCTGGACAAGCAATGCACAAGCTCATCAGGCAGTGCTCTCAATGGCAATGGAATTCCATGTTTAGGTGGGATGCATTGGAACTCTGTTTGGTTTGGATACTCTTAAGCATGGTATCGGACATGTATCGGACACCTGACTGACCCAAAAAAGTTGAAGGGTAGAAATCAAAGGGTATTCATTAGGGACGTGGTTTAAAATGTGGTGTGTGTGTGTTTGGGTTGGGGAGGGTGGTGCTAATGAAGTTCATTTCAGACAAGTGTAAAGTTCTACTATTAGGAAGTAAAAATCAGAGGCAAATCTATACCATAGGTGGGTTACTACATCTACTCCAGTAGTCCTAACTCTTACTGTTATATAGAGTCATGGGTGCCAACACCCCTCTGATGTTTAACCTGAAGAATTACTCTTTATACATGAGTTTGGACAAGGAGTGTTGGGAGTCTGATTGACTCTGGGTGTCAATGCAGCTAATTCCGTTCTTGCTCTCACCCGACATTGATACGCTCAGACTTTCCAAAAAAGTCACTGATTAGCAATTAGGGTCCCTTATTTATTTCTCTCCCCAGCCAAGGGATGCTAAGACCAATTATAGTGCCACAGCTGCTGTCTGCTGAAATAAGCTTAAACATGCGACCTTGTGCTCTGCATGGCTTAGTGCTCAGGTGGAGACTTCATCCTCTTGTCCATTGCTGAGCCTGTGATAGAAAAATCATTCATAATACTCTTAGTGTATTGACCTTTGACTTTAGAAAGCATTGTTTTGTCCTCTCATCAGGTCCTGATTTTTTAAAAAAACAAAATAAGAAGTTAATCATGGCTATTTCTTTTCCAACCTCAGTACTGGAAGCCGCACTGGGGATTTCCAGAGATCAGCATCATAAATTTCACAGTGTTAACACTTTAAAAGAGAATTGAAACTATTAATTATGTTGACCTTGGTGCATCAATAAGACAATAATAGTCAGTGGTATGATTGCAATAAATCTAGTTTTTTGTGAATCAGTTTCGAGAGACACCTACAAATTAGATGTTTAGAAAAACATAACATTTTATAACATCATTTGACAAATTATTAATGGAAGCTTTTGATATGAATGGTTACATAAAGGAAACCTCTAGGATTAGGCTTACACAAATTATAGTGGCAAGACTTATTTGGTATCTGGCAAGACTTATTTGGTATCTGGCAGCTCTTAAAATAAAGCAAGTAAGGTGAAACATTCTTGAAACATTCTTGAATTTTTTTTAAATCCATAGGCTGTCAACCCACAAAGCTGGAGGAATGTGGAAACCAGAAAGAAATGCGTGAGACTGAATGCAGCACCTCCATCCATCCTGACTTGTGCTCATCTGAGAATTGATGTAAAATGACAACACATCACCTCCCCCAATGCTCCTAATGCTTTCAAAGTCTCCTCATTCAAACCCAAGGTACACTGCAAAGAGTTCTGGGATAATGCTAATGTCCCAAACAAATACCTAATTGTCAACTTCACAAAGGAACTTCTAAGCTCCAACCAACCTACTAGTGGTCTGCATTTGAACCAAACTGTTTCAGAGCATCGCATGTTAGATGGAATCATTTTGTACACCTCTGGAAGGTAAGAGACAACTCACAATGTGACTGTGGACACTGGTTGCAAATTATGGACCACATTGTAAATGAGTGCCCGGTTCCATCGTTTGCTGTTAGCAACTCAGATTTACACCAAACCACTTCCGAAGCTACCCACTCACTCATCTGAACTTGGCTGTTTGTATGTTGCTAATCTCTTGCCATCAAAAAGTAGTAGTACCTCCCCCATGAACAAACAGTTGATGATCTTCAGTTCATTAAAGAATATCACAACCCTACCCTGGGGCTTGGCTTCAGAGCAACACGGACGGAACTTGAAGAACAGGTTGGTTCTTTGTCAATGAACGATCCTGGGAGGGCCAGAGAAGTGATCAAGGAAGCAAATGCAATCAGAAAAGTGTTTTGACTCCCTGAAATCCTAACAGAGCTCCCACTCTCCGGAACTCTTTTCCTCCCTCCAGATTCCTCGCTCTCTGCTTTGAAAATAATCTTTGTCTTCGGCCAACTTCCTTCTACCCCATTGTCTTCATCTAGTTTGGCTCACTCCAATTCTATAAAGTGCCTTGAGACTTTCCACTTGAAACGTGCTATGAACATTGTTGTTGTAAATTGTTGTTGCATGTATGTAATCTTTGAGATGAGAAAACCACACATTTTATTCCTGGTCTATCCTGTCAGTAATCGCTGCCAAGGTAGCAGTAGGGGTAATAAAATTATCTCAACATCCCTGGGCCAGGAAGAGGAAATCAGCCAAGGTTTCTGCTCCTTGTTTTCTTGTGATTGCTGCTGGAAAGTGCATTCGGGGGATATTAAGTAAAGATAGAGTCAGGTTTGTGGTAGGTTGCCAGTTGTGATTGGATAGCCTTCAAATATTGACTGTTAAGGTGCAAACTTGAATGTTTGCTTATAGGTGTTATTGAGAGCACTGAGCATATCCAAGAATTACCCCCCAAAAATAACAATGCCTAAAGGAAAGGAGAGGTGGAGAAAAATAGATGAAAATAAATTAGGAGGAAAAAACAAGATAAATTCTGACTGTCAGACAAATTATGTACTCATATTACTTATTATCTGACTATTTTTGGCTAATATATAGATCAGGGAGAAATATAAAGATAAATTAGTGTGACATAACATCTGTTAAAGATCACAAAGCATCAAGCCCAAATGGAATATTTTTGAGAATACAAGGAAAAATGGAAGACATTTTGTCAAGTTTTTTAAACAATATGGTGGCACCAGAAAACAAGACAAGAGTGACTGTGCCTTCTGTCTTTTAATAAAATGTCAAAGCATGTTCCTGGAAATTATAGACGTGTTAGCTTTCCATCCAGAAGAAAATTGTATTCTGCTATACAGTGGTAGCATCTAGGCAGATGAAAAAGCAATACATCTAAGCCAGTGAGAGGTAAGCAATATCTAACAGATATATTGGAATTCTTTGAGATGTACGTGTACGAAGGCAAGATGATGCGAATTATGTGCAGACTTTCACAAAGCAATTGATAATGTCACTCACAGGAGTTTAATGTTTATGTGAAAGCTCATGTGATCCAAAAGTAAGTCATAAATTGGATTATTAATTGGATAGACAATAGGAAATAGAGAGTTGTGATCAAAAGTAATAGTTCTCGGTGTATAGCTGTGACCAATGGGATCTCTCAAGCAATTATTCCTAAGGTCCAGGTGTTTACAATATTGATGAGAATACTTGAAATAAAGTATCATATTATGTGGTAGAACAAGATACTTCAAAAAGAAGGTATTATTCAAATAGTTTTACTGGCACAGCCATATGGCAGATGGAATAATGGTTTTCCATTATGTTCAGCTGTTTTGCTTTTCTAAAAGTAATCATGAATACATAATACCTTATATTATAATTCTTAAAGTGTAATAATAATGATAATCCTTGCTTTTGATATCGCGCTTTTCACATCTTCTAGATGTCTCAAAGCGTTTCACAGAACATACTGTAAAGTGTATTGACTGTATATTTGTGGGTGAAACGCAGCAGCCAATTGCACACAGCAATGTCCCACAAACAGTCGTGGATTGAATGATCAAAATGTTATTGCTTTTTTTTTCTTGAGAGATTATTATCAGGCGTATAAAGAAACTTGCCCAAGGTTTCAACCTGCTGGGAATCGAACCCAGGTCTCTCGTTTGCAAAGCTAGTGCTCTAACCACTGAGCTACAGGACTCCACAGTGCTGATTATATCCAACTCATTTGAGACTGGTTCCTCTAATCCCTGGATATAAAGCACTTATGGAATGAATTCAGAGCATCTTATCAAATGATTGCTCACCTACTCTTTCCACTGTCCTGCTATCTGATGCAGAGTCCAATCAACAGAAATCAGTAAGGAAAGTGTCACAGAAATACATGTTTGCTTATTGTAACAAGCTTCACGTTGCCCGCCTCACCCGCCTGCCTCACCATTGGCAAGCGGGCCTTCAACCACTCTACCCCCACCCTATGGAACTCCATCCTGCAGTCCCTCCACCTCTCCCCATCCCTTGGCTTCTTCAAGACCCATCTCAAGACTTTCCTCTTCAACCATGCCTTTGATCATCATCCTTCCTCCCCTGCCTTCAATCCTCCCTGATTCTGACCCCCAGCTCGGGTCTGAAATACTGATTGTCCAGCTCCTTGGGATTTTCTCCTGACATGAAAAGGGTTATACAAATGTAATTTTGTTGTTGTTGTTGTTATTAACCAGTAATTTGAAAATATTAGGGGTCTAAAATGGATTCAAGTCACCAACTGGAATCTCTTATTTTGTCAATATCAAGCTATAAGATTTGTAAAATGGAGAATTGTGCATCTGAAGTGTAAAAAATGACCAGCAAGGAAAATATTATCCATTTGAAAAAAAACGTCTTTATTTTAAAGTAACAAGTCAACGAAGACTCATGACTTTTCTAATAAAAAAGAACAACTGTAATGTAGGCCAGAGGCAATACAGTCTATAATCCTTCTCTCCATGGGTTTAATCAGACAACCATCTGCATGTGCCTGGTTTATTGGTTGGACTTGGCAGTGGCGTAAGGGCAGGGATTGTTCTCACTCAGCTC